GACAAACCAATGAGAGGGAAAGACCCCTATTTTGGTGTTAATACACATTATCTTTCAGTATTAATATCTTACCACCCAGTCTAAAATAACTTAGAAGCACTGTCTAGATGTGGCTTTGGCAGGCCATATTTCCAGAACAGAGCCATGATGGGCCTGATAAAGCAAACCCCTGGCCTCATCATTCCGAGTTTATTGGTAAAGGGCAGAAAAGGAGAAGTGGGCAGTGGTATAAGTGTGTCAGCATTCCATCCCTCCTCAAGAAAGGAAAGAAATGCAGTAGAAATGGAGGTAGTGATGGTAACAGTGGCTAGGTGGAAACTTGATGGGATGAAAATGAACAAAGAGATGTAAAAGAGGATGGTTGGAAAGCAGAAACACGAGATTTTAGTGTCATGATAACAACAAATTATGGCAGTTAAAGCCCAGACTATGACTACCGCTGTTCTAAAATACCTTCCATAATTTTATTTAATTTTTATAACAGTCATATGAATGAAGCAGTGTTAATATTACCATTGGATAGATGAAGAATGTGAAATTTAGCAGTAAGTAACTTGGAAATGGTACAGTTGTACTTAAAAGCAAGACAGAGTTCCCACCCACAACTGTTTCACTGTTCTGCCTCCTAGTCTTGATATCTAGACTCAGCATGGGCCTGTATGTATGAGAAGGAGAATATTTAATAAGACTATTCTGTTTTTCTTTTCAGTTGGTTATTCAGTTGTTGCCATCAATCATATTGTTGACTTTAAGGAAAAGAAACAGGTAAGTTAGATTTCTAAAGTTAGTAAGTTTATTATAATTATAAAAAATAAATGAAGTTCATAATTACTATTTGTGGTTATTTATGTTTATGTTGTGAGTAGGGAAGATACAGATGAACATATTTCTTAAATGCATTCTATTAGTGCATTATTGTTTTATGTTAATAGTTGAGCTGATACATATTTGTACAAATGACATTTTTGTGAGGTGGTCTGGCATGCTATAAGGATTCCTAAAGCTGATTTAATGTTAATTAAGCCACTCGATGTTTTAAAATGCATTGATTGAACTGCAATCACAATATTTGTTTTTATTTTATTGTCATGGAATCGTTGATGTCCCTCTTAAGCATTCTAGGAAATACGTATGTTTATTTCTTTGCTTAATCTTAGCCAAAAGTCCGAGAAGTGATAGCAACTGTATCTTATAGGTGATTTCTATGTAAATTAGGTTTCATCCCTTTTATTCACTGACATTCTTAGTTACTTCTCTGCTCTTTATTTCCTTCCTTTTTTTCTTGTTTAGAAAAGCTTTAGTTTTTCTAAGTTCTAAAAATTTGCTTGCTTTTTTTAAAGTAATATAACTTAACCCATTAACGTTTCTGTTATGCTTCCTGCCTTAAACATGTATGGCCTTGGATGATTATTTATTATTTGTTGTAGGAAATTGAAAAACCAATAGCAGTTTCTGAGCTTTTCACAACTTTGCCGATTATTCAGGTAAGTGCTCTTTTAAAGAAATATCAAATGGATTCATTCAGTTCCAAGATAGCCTGTTGTGTACGCTGTCCCCTGACCTGAATGCACCTTCTTCTGCCTGCTAGTCTTATTTTTCCACCATGGATCACCACTCACCATTCTCTTACTGTCAGTGTGGTACTTCTTTGATTTTCTCCTTTCTGAAGTCTTCCAATTTCTAATTTATCTTGTTACATAGTTTGATGTACACATTGTATTTTCTTTGGCTGTATTATAAGCCACTGAAGAATGGGAGCTAGGTCTTATCTTCATTATCCCTTAGAGCCAGTTCTTTTTTTTTTTTTTTTTTTCAGAACCGGGGATTGAACTCAGGCCCTTGCGTTTGCTGGGGAAGCGCTTATTCCACTGAGCCATCTCCCCGGCCCCTGAGCTAGTTCTTTTTAATGAGCATTTGCCATTGGTAAAAGAAAAAATCAGTGAATTATGTTTCATGATTTTTTGATACCGTATTTTTTGTTCATAGGGAAAATCAAGACCAATTAAAATTTTAACTAGATTGACGATTATAGTTACAGATCCATCTCACTGCAATGTTTTGGTAAGTTAATTATTTCTCCTCTCTTGGCATTCCTTTTTGGCCTTGTAATCTGTACTGACTATTGCATTTTATGCTATCTCATTCTTCCTGACACCTGCCTGCTATCCCTATTCTTAGAATTCACAAAGGAGCCATATTTTTTTTTTTTTTTAAACTCATGGCACATATACAGTGACTCCCTAATTAAAAAAATCCCCTGTTGACTTTCATTCATTGAACTTACATGAACCAGATATAAGGTGAATGCTGTGGATATTACTCTGTGATCTTTGAATGTGTAAGCTTACAGTTTAATTGTAAGACAAGCACTGAAAAAAACCTTAGAAATGTGAGGAAAGTTTTAAAAGAAGGAAGTGACAAATAAAGGATATTCTGGGAATGTGTAACCTGAATAAGTTGATGTTCATGCTAGGACCAAGTACACTGGTGACAGGCAGAAAAGAGAGTTCCTATGGGCAGAACAGCTTATATAAAGATCTGCAACCAAGAAAAATGTTACCGAGGGAAGAGAAAGCGGAGCCCAAGAACAGTGGAACATCTTGGAAGCTTTGAACCAAGGAAATAACTTTGCCTAGAAATTCAGCACTGAAGGAGAATAGAAAGCATTGGGTAGTTGAAGGAGGAAAGCTCGCTGTGTAGAAAGATTGTGTTTGTTAACTGGAAGAGGTTGGAGTGCGCCTGTGAACAGGAAAGATCGATTGAGAGCCCTGGAGTGAGCCACTTTGTCGTCAACTAAAATGGACACCTCTGTCCTAGAAGTGATAAGGAAAGCCTGACCCACTTTATCTAAACTTTTTCTTTTTGTACTGAGGATCAAGCTCAGGACTTTGTGCCTGCCAGGCAGGTGCTTATGCTGCTGAGCTATCTCCTTAGCCCCAATGCACTTTATAACAGTAATTGCTAAAAAAAAATCTGAAAAGCCAAAATTTGGTATTTTATACAGCCACAAGGCATCACTCTGGTTCTATCACATTATCCTATCATACAGAGGTTATATATTTGAATATATATTTTCTAATCATTTCTTATACAACAAATACATTATTAGTTTGAGTTTTTCCTTTTTAAACAGTAACTCTGGCTTTACCAATGTGTTCTTTTCTGACCCAGGACTGTCCAGTAGTTTCTTGTTCATCTGTCATTTTAATTTGTAATTAAGTTCTCTTTGTGCACCTAATTATATGACACTTCATCATATTTATTACATAGAAGACTTAACCCTTGGTCTTGTATGTTTTTTGTGTGCAAAAAAGAGGGGTGAATTTCATTGAGAGAATGATTTCATAGTAATGATTTTATGTTAGTAATTTTGTATCTCCAGTGCTCAGCCCACAACAGATACTCAGTAATTGTCTGTGGAATCAGAGACTTTTATTTTTATGTCCCTTATATCATATTTTGGATAAAAAATGTAGAAGGAAGGGCTGGCCAAATAGCTCATCAGATTAAAGTGCCTGCAAGCAGGCTCAGGGGCTGGGAGTTTGATGCCTGGACCTGCCATGCTGGGCCCGCCCCTGTGGCATGCTGAGGCAGTGATTGAGAGACTGGGTCTGGTGGCACATGCCTGTAATCCCAACTCTTGGGAGGCTGTAAACAGGCCGATCACTACAAGTCCGATCTAGTAGTGAGACCCTGAATACCCTATAGACCCTTCCCTAAAACACACACACACAAAACAAAAAAATGTAGGATAGCTAGGATGAAGTGTTTATTGACTTTTGGTATCGAAATTCTCGTGTCCTTTTATATAAGAAAACAAAAGGCAGTGTATCAAAAGTTGTGTGATAAAAATGTAAGTGTAGTTAGGTCTATAGGCAGGAAGTCACGCATGTACTTTGTGTTGTTGTAGGATAACGTTCTTTTTGTATTACTAGAGGGCGACTTCTTCAAGGGTCCGGCTGTATGATATCATTGCAGTTTTTCCAAAGACAGAAAAACTTTTCCATGTAAGTAACAGATAATTAAAAGCAAATAGTATTTTCTTACTCTTTGTAGGATGTCTGATGTTATTTCTTTGTAGGTGACCTTCTTTGTTCCACCTAGAAAATGTTAGGATTTTTATTTCTACTTGAAACTCTGGAATTTCACAGGGAAATAGCCTGTGGGTTTTTTGTTTGGCTGGTTGTTTTGTTCTATTGATCCTGTGAGACATTTGATGAACTCACTTTGAAGAAATCATGAGATATTCACCTGTTTATCTCTGCTTTATTCATTCAGCACTTCTCTTAGATGAATGTTGCTCCATTTCTAGCTCTGAAATCACTTCATGATTCATATTTAGTAAGCCCTTCGTATTTGGTACTGTCTGAGGACGGGTAGTGTAAAATTCTACTGTAGCATAAAACCCGCCGCCTCTGTTCGTCTTCCTCTTGTACGTGCTCTGACTTCTATAGCCCATGCACCAACGTGAACATGTCAGTCTTTAGTTTTCCAGAAATTCCTTTTCCTATTCTGAGATCCTTTATGACTTTAATTCCTTTGGTACATTTAGAATTGCCATCCCAGCACATTTGCCAGAGACAAAGGGGCTTAGGCATGCTCATTTTGCCAACTTGAAACAGAGCACCCCAAGCATTTAAATGATTACAGTATGGGAAAAAAATTCACTGTAATATACTATTTTCAGGACTGTGTTTTACTATATCAAGTTAGATATAGCTACTTTAGGAGGTTTTAAAAGTTGTCTTTAGGTTCAAAAAAGTTCTAGCTGGCAGAGGGTATTGCATGAAAAACCTGTGGGTTTTAGATGTCTTAATTACACACTAGCTCTTTTCTAAGCAAAATTTGTTCTGAAATTGTACACAGTTTTCCTGTGGTTACCAGTAGATGGAGCTAAGGGCCTGATATGCAGCATTTAGTTTTTTTTCTTTTCTTTTTTTTTTTTTTTAACATTTATTTATTGTGTGTGTGTGTGTGTGTGTGTGTGTGTGGCCAGCTCAGCCCACCTGGGGGCGGGACTGGCTGGCATGTGGTGCTGGGGGATC